ACACTTTTCCATGTGATAGCAATCTACACCATTGATTTTAAATATATTCAGCCATCCAATCATTGCTCGTATTCCTTCTACCTAGGATGATGTCGACCAAGGATATACATCTAGCTTAATTATGTTGATAAAAGAGTTTACATGTTACATGCTCAGACCCATTATATTAAACATTATGACAAGCATTGGGCTAAGGTCCAATTGACTTTAGGATGTAAATACTCTACTTTCATTAATGCATTTTACTTATTGCAGATCTATTATTTTAATTTGATTACTATTATGATAAATTAAATTAATATAGTCCGTAGATTCAAGTTTCGATAACTTGTTAATCACAAAAAGTAGTAATTGTGAGATATAAGGTACTTAGCGTATCTCCTTTGTGGGTGATTGTGATTGCCAAATTAAATTCAATTTTATCTTGCTTATAGAGATGGGCTTTGCTATGGGTACCATGCCCCCCTCTACCTTGTGAGGGGCTGGTAACCAGGCGTGTAAACACCCGGGTACCTTTAGCATTTTCCTATAGAGATTCCCTGTCTTTGGTAAAAGTGAGCCCCACTTGGACGTGAACTGCCTTGCATGAGGTGGGAAGAAGCAACGTTTAGTACTTTTTGGGAAGTAATGGCTCTATCTTTTCCTCCCTGCAAAAGACTTCACTCCCAACAAGGAAAAAAAGAAAAAGAAAATAAAATTGAGCCCAGAGAAGAAAAAACAGAAAAGTAAAAAATTTCATATCATATAAACTTCTTATATTTTCTTTTCAAGCAATAGTCTAGGTTGAGAAGTGCAAGTTGGCAGATTTGTTTTTAGAGCAAGAAGTGGAACTACAAAAAAATCATCTCAATTTTATGATAAGTCGATGGTTGTTCTCCACAACCACATAGATAGACTCTATATTTCATCTTCAATGTCATTGCTCGAGTAATGGACAAATACTAGCTTCTCAGCACTGACTTGAATAGATTTGCTCGACGAAATCTAAATTCTTTAAATTTTCTCAAACACTTTAAAGATTCCAACTTTATTTAGATAAAACACAAAACCATAGTTCTAATTACTTATAATCATTCTATACAATACATGCAATATAAATCATTCCACAAACCCAAAAGAGAAAATACAAAAATCCAAAGATGTCAAAACAAAAAAGAATACCTCAGATTCTTTTCTATGCATGGAGGACAGAAAAGACTGTTTGACAATTGATATTCTCTCTGTAACTCTGCCTTTTATGGATGCATACTTTTCTTTTTCTTTTTCTCTTTGTTTTTTCTCTCTTTTTTGCTTTCTTGGTTTGGTTTCTCTTTTCTGGCTATGTTTAAGAAAACCCCATATTTTTAAATTTTTCATCATGGATGAAATGTATTGGAAGAAATTTTGTAGAGATAACATGAAAAATAACCTTAATGCTCCAGGTATTATTTCGCGGCGTTCAATGCTTATTGCTATTGATTCGATACTATAGGACGCGATCAACGAGAATTAATTATTGGGGGTAGATAGACCAGTAAAACAGCAATAGCCACAAACGTTTCTTGAATGACTCTCAAAACGCACAATTACTAAATTTTTTGTCTATTACATATATCATTTGCCTATGTTTTTCATTGTCAGTTATAAATCCGAGCAAACAAAATGCACAATTACTAAATTTTTTGTCTATTACATATATCATTTGCCTACGTTTTCATTGTCAGTTATAAATCCGAGCGAACGAGGGAATGTCACCTTAGGTTGACAGTCAGCTTAAACGATCTCTCAAATTTTATAAAATGAACTCTAGACGACAAAATATTTAATAAACAATTTCAAATTTGTTGTTATTTATGCTTCATTTCATTTGAAGCAATTAATTTTATCAACAAAAGTTTTTTTGTTTATAGAGATTATTTCAAATACAATATTAAAAAGATGATAATATGAATGATAAAAAACAATTATGCAATGTTACACAATTACATGTAACTTTCAATCATATTACAAAATCGTTAAGAGAAGAAGTAAATGTAAATTTAAGCTTTTTACTTTTATCAAACATAATTATTTAGTGCTTATTATTATTATTATTATTATTAGGAAGTAATTCTTAAGCATAAGCGTGCTCAAATCTATATATAGTCCGTGATTGACTTAGATAAAATAATAATAAAAAATAAGGTAAAATCAATAATTAATTTTAACCACACATTTTATTGGATCCACAAATTTTATTAAAATCTACTAAAAATATGATTTTTGAGCTAAATCAGACGAGAGCTCACATAAAACTTCTATTTTAAGTTAATAGGGCTGTCTAAAATATTTATCATAGACGCAGAAGCCATCCATGATGTCCATTGATAAAAATGAATGTTCATTATTTTTTCACCCAAACATAATACTTTTAATGATATCGAAGTTCTTTTTCGAGTTTTTCTTACGTTAAATTACTATGTTATGTATACCCATGTTTGAATCACATTATTTAAAATTAGTTTTTCGACAAACTTTTTTTTGCACGTAATCCAATTTTTTTTTCAATACTTTTTACAAACATATTCTTCAAATAAATTATTTTTTACGAAATTTATTCTAAAAAATGGAACCCAAACAGGTACAGTACGTAAAAGGACCTAAATAGAGTTCATATTCCGCCAAGTATGAATTAAATGGTACACATGAAGAATGTTCAGAGACGAGTTTTAGAATGTAGAAAAAAGGATATGGTGTAAATTTTTTTTCTGATATGCGAGTTCGATGGGAGACACTTTGTTATCACAGTTTTACATGCCAAAATGTTCTCGAAAATATGAAGAATGTTTTATTTTCACAGAAGAAATAAACAAAAATTCGGTTGATTATATAATTCGGTTCAACTTTCAACAGAAGAAATAAACAAAAATTAATATTGTGAAAGCGAACTCGAAAGGGGAGAAGATAGTAACGTTTATATTGCTATTAAGTTGTCGTAACAAGGAAAGAGTCGTTAATAATTATCACACGACAGATCAATAAGAAGCCAAAGGAAAGGATATTGCATATTAATGTCATATAACAATCAATTGATGGAGACATACTATTTTAGAAATTCAATTTGTACAAGATAATATTGTCAAATGGTCTTCTAATGTCTCCTAAATACATGGAAGAAGAACAGATCACGCTTCGAAAAAAATGTTCTAGATATTTTAGATCTAATTAAATTAAATTTTTGAAATATGTCAAATTATTTTTTTATTCAATTTATACTTTAAACATAATTAATATTTTCTTTTTCACGCTTGGCATCTTTCTTGTCATTCAAATGTTTTTTTTTTTTTTCAAGTAAGTCTCCGTTTGGTTTTGTTAAAAAATCAGACTTTTAATAAATTTTAATAAAAATTAATAAAATATGTGAATAAAAAGTTGATAAAAGGCTTGAATCCCATAAAATGTTTGATAAAAACAAGTTCTGAAAAATGGGGACCAAACAAAAGCTAAATTATATAGTAAGACGTGATGATATTTGACTGTGTTCTCGACATGCTTAATCGAATTTAGATTTTATTGCCCTCATCTTTTTCTTCCCACAATTCATGTAGTAATTGAATGTAACAGTATTGTCATGAGTTGTTTGCTCAAATTTCTTTGTCCAAATTAAAGAACCTCACCTTTTTCTTGCTTCTTGTATTACGAGATTTCATCATTCCTTTAATTGGATGATAAAAGTTATATTAATAAAATATTCAAACTCAAAATCTTGATTTAACTTTTATATACGCTCCCCCAAACCCAAAGTTAGATTCCATTTACCCCACCCACCCCTACGCCATCCCCCACTGTACAAAGCTCTACTGCCAACCTAGCTAGAGAATATTTCCTAACTCCATTTCTTGAATATGAAAATGACATGAACCTTTTTGAGGTTTATGAGAATTACATAGATATCCTCTTTATTTTTAAAATTGAAGTTTACCTTTAAGTCCATGATTGGGTCACATTATATTTTTCATTCTCATTCTTCTACTCAATTTCAACCATACATTTTTCAATAAAATAATATTTTTCATCACATCAATAACTTTTCCTTCTTTTTCAACCACATATTCTTCATCACATCACTTCTAAAAAATACATTCTTTCATTTTAATGTGTACCAAACGAGCTAGATTATCCGCGGTCAACAAAAGGTAAATATTTATTTCTCATTTTATCGTTCTATACTATTTTGAAATTGTTATTTTAATATATTCATTTACTCTATTTTTTATACCATTGAGTTTAATACTATATTAATATTAAAAAAAATAAAGTAATATTATCATTACAAGAAATATGAAAAAAGTTGCCATCAATGTTTATATATTACATGTACACTTATTTTATTGAAAAATGTGTTATTAAAAATGAATTTTAAAAAATAATTTTCTAAAAAATGGGGCTCAAATATGTGTTACATTTCCTTTTAGTTCCATATTGTAGTGTATATTTTAGATCAATTTTAATTTTTCACTTTTTAATGAGAAATCAAAACTGATTAAAATGATATCACTCTTTACGAAAAGGTTAAAAATAATTTTTTTAAACACTTGAAACAGTTTAGTTTTTCGAAAACAAAATTAAATAAATACAATTAAAATAACAAATATAAAAATATTTTTTTATCTAAAAGAAAAATCAGTAGTACACTATTTCCAATATAAAAAGACTATTTTATCACTGTTATTTTGTTTTAAGTACCCCTGAAACGGCATCCCATCTCATCTTCCCTTTGCACATCCAAAGATGGACAAATAACACTAGGCCTTTCCAAAAGCAAGAGTCCCAAGCACTACAAGAACAAAACCCAGCCTCCTTTTGTTCAGTTGAGTGAAAAAGAGGCAGAGAACAAGAAATCTGAGCCAACCTTTAATCTATACTCATTCTTAACAAAAACCCATCTCCCAGAGCAACCAAAAATCTTATCTTCAGCCTTCTGTCAGAAGAAATTGGAGAAGAAAAAAAACGAAATGATTTGATTTATCCAGAATCCACCAATGGGTTTGCCCAGAAACACCTTGTATTTTGTTCCAGTTTTGCTACTCATTTTAACCATTCTTGAGCTCGCCCCAGTATCCAAATCTGCACCTGACTACACCAGCTTAGTGTACAAGGGTTGTGCCAAGCAAGATTTAGCAGATCCAACAGGGGTTTACTCACAAGCACTCTCTGCCCTTTTTGGCACCCTCATTGCACAATCCTCCAAGGCCAAGTTTTTCAAAACCACCACTGGCAGTGGCCAAACCACCATTAATGGCCTTTTACAATGCAGAGGGGACCTGTCAAATGTAGATTGCTATAATTGTGTGAGCAGGTTGCCTATACTCATAGATAAACTCTGTGGCAAGCCTATTGCAGCAAGACTCCAGCTTTCTGGGTGCTACATGCTCTACGAGGTTGCAGGGTTTTCACAAATCTCCGGGATGGAAATGCTGTACAAGACTTGCAGTGGAACAAACGTTGGAGGGGCCGGATATGAGGAAAAAAGAGACACTGCATTTTCTTCACTGGCAAATGGCATTGGAAATGCCAATGGATTTTACACCACGAGTTATGAGTCAGTTTATGTGTTGGGGCAATGTGAAGGTGATGTGG